CCACTCCAGTCTAAAGCGCCACGTCGAAGTGAAGCATTGGGGTAAGTACAAATAGTTAATTGGATTAAGTCAAGAAGTAGAAGCGCTAGTTATCCTCGATTTTTTCATGTACTTTTAATACCGTAAAGCCGTTTCTTTTAAACTGTTAGTAAATTTATTTGCTCTAAGACTCCATCAGATATGTGTGTGAGGACTGTCAAATATCCTTTCACAAATTCACCTGCCTTCAACATCACCGAGATTCAATTCACGCGGGTAATCTTCCTTTTACTGCCTTTCACTCTAACTTAGCGCTGAATGTAGAGCCATCCAGAAGACATGATTCTTTTCTACGTTTGCTATTCCTGTGTAGATATAGCGGACACTTGAAATTACTCATTCGAGGTGAGAAAGGTGTAATGTAGGAACAAATATTTGTATCAAATGCAACCTAATTTTTTGCTTGTTCTGGCAAAATTGGACACCTCGAAGGTCATTTGGAGACAGGCCGCGTTCCAGATGTGACATCCGGTATGTCTAGTAAGCCATGAGCAGCTTTGTTCCCACTCAGCATTTATGAGAAGGAGATTTTACTTAACTGCTACTGTAGGATGGACGACTGATGAAGGACTTGTTTGCCAACAATGCTTCACTTCTCAGTGCCTTCGCATATTTATTCCCGAAGGAGTCGCGCGTAAGCTGGAATAGAATTGGTGTTATCAATTTTACCCTGTTTTGGTTATTTTGCGATTTGGGCAGAAGGATTCCTTATTACCAGTGTTTTACAATTTATTTTAGGGTTTACCATAGAGGACATGCGATCACAGTTTCATGGTGGTGATTACGAAGGAGTAGTAGATAGGAGAGAATTCATTCTTCAGTGCTTGCGCAGATTACAGGTTTTAAGAGCCAGGTCACGCAGAAATACATAGTTACTGTGGAATAAGTGTGCTTTTTGATGCGTCTAATTGACCCCAGTGTAGCAAATGCATGTAGTTTGGCTTTAGAATTCAATCAGAAGCAACGCCAAAACAAAACATTGCAAAAGAGCTATATGCTGACATTCACACAGTCAGCAGCTCACCGTAAAATGCCAATCACCCATGGCTTAATCTTTCTAACGCCCCCACTGACAATGGCAGTCGGTTCAAACACATGGTGTTTTTGGAAGGTAGACATGTACGCGAACAGCATAAGCTCATGGAAATGGAAATTAAAACATGATTTTTACTTAGGCATCAGGATGGCATTGGCCATGATCTGACACGATTCGATCTGAATAGCGAACACCCTATTCGAACTGTGGCAAACATGGAACTCTTTTAAGTAGACATAAGATGAGCTGAAATTCGGATAACTTCTCCTGGTAAAAGAGGTCAAAAATGAGGTAATTTTAGCCTGAATTTGAAGCGATTCTAAGCACCAACTCGTCAAGGAATCAGGACCGACTGTTTTATTGGCTTCCATTTGCCAGTAATGAGATGGCGTAACACTCAGAGGTGAAGCCGTGCTTCGCAGGATGTGGGAAGTCCACAGTGCGTTTGATTAGTCAAAAGTGCCCAAAAGTGATGTAACTTTTACTAGAAGTCTCAATGCTCAGCCTCATCCTTTGTCAATATATCCCTATTTTTTATCCCTATTTGTGTAATCCTAGTGTCACCGGATCTTATCATCGCCCTTCCGCTATATGCCACCCTAAAAATCTATTCCGCTTATCAGCATACTAACTCGGCCATAGCAGATACCATCTGTGAAGAAGATCTCAGTATCTCGATTTCCCTAGGCCAGTGCACGTTCTCG